ATCCAATCAAGTCACCCCAAAAGTTCAGAGACAAAGATTATGCCTTTTAATGTGTAAATCAGTAGATAATATTAGTTTCTTTTTAGATTAACAAAAAATGTTGTGTTGGTCAGAATCTTATGTGTCATCAGCCCTTGGGAATTTTAATTTTCCCAGTGATGGGCACACGCCCTTGTTTTCTTTGTTTTATAATATTGCATTAATACAACAGTTTTCTTTACTCTAAAGCACATAACAGTTTTCTTTTGTTCAAGAAATATTTACCGAGTACTGCTTTATGTCCTTTTCTGTGGTACAGTGGCAAGAGCAGTGAGTAAAGAGTCGAAAGATTGAGGTTCTAGCCCCTCATCTGTTAGTGTGAGATGTTAAAGCTTTGTGAACGTTAGTGTTCTTGTCTATAAACTACTGAGTGATACTGGCCCTAATTACCTTAGAAGTTAGTTTTCAAAATCCAGCGCCTGCCATAATATATGAAAGTATTGTGAAGGCTTACAAAGCACAGAAAAATATGAAATGCAGAATAATTTTATTTTTAAAAAAATCTCAGTCCTGATTATTAGGCAAGTGACATTCAAGCAATGCCTTTAAAAAATGTTAGGAATGTAGATGTGATTTTTTAAAAAATTGTTTCCACAAAGTTAAGATCTCCTGAGGTCACTAAATGTACCGTTTCTGAGGTTATTTAACTGTTGGAAGCTTTGGGTAATATTCAGTAATGTGCTTTTTCTTGGCCTATTTATAGGAAATACTTTATCCCTGCCAGTGTAGCTTCTTTGGCCTCAGTTTATAGAATTAAAGTGATTTTGTTTTCCCCAAGTTTATTTCCCAGCAGAAGCTATAAGGCACTCACAGTCAACCTCAAAATATATTCCCCAGACCTATGGGCTTCGAGCACCGCCTACAGCTACACAGTGGAACATTTGTGCTTGCTCAGAAGCCCAGCTCTCCTTTGCCCTCTCCTTTGCTCCTAGACTCCTCCCTGAGAATATACACACACTAGGATTTATTGCCATCTTTCAAATTCTGACTTTATTATTTTTTTCTTTTTCAGGATTTGCATTTTAGGACAGAATATTTTAAAAATAAAATTTATGATTAATTAAAAACTTGTTAAGATGATCTGTTCAGTTTTTGTTCACATGGGGAATTCATTTTAATTATTTTTCACTGTCTTTTAATCAGGAGTAAGAACATTTGTCCCTAAGCCTGTTGCCACTACTTTGCAGTACATCGGTGGGGCTGCAGCCATCCTGGGCCTGGTGGCCATGGCCTCTGATGTGGAAGGGTTATATGCAGCCGTCAAGGCCCTGGTCTGTGTGGTCAAGAGTAACCCCCTAGCCAGCAAAGAAATGGAAAGAATTAAGGGCTACCAGGTTTGTAACGTGAAGCTTTGCTTTCACTTCACTTAGCACAAAAGATATTCCAATTTCCATTGTCAAATTCTGGAAAATTATATTGTCCAAGAAACTTAAAAGATCCAGCACTTTTAATTAAAATTAACATGTGTCAAATGGGAATATGAATTGTTTTATTTTAATGTAGCCTTTATCTCAAGTCTTACTAAACCCTTGAATTAGGTGACATTATTTTAATGTAGCTTTGACACATTTGAATATGTTTCTCTGTGGGAATGGGAATGAAATGAAATAGAGCCCTCTTAGCCCCTCCTCAAGATCCCGGGGGTCGGTGGTAGAGGCAGGGCTCTCCCGGTTTCCTTGTCTCTCCACTCCATCAGCTTTCACCTCCCTGCCCTTACTTGGGAGATGTGGAAGCCGCTACGTAGTAAGTGTGGCCTTGTTGCTCTTTACTCCTGAAAACTACTGTGCAGTTAATGAAGTGCAGTGTCCCGTGTCTACAGTCTGTACCAATTTAGGCGGAAAGTTACTTATTGTAAGAAGAGAAACAAATGTGTGAAGCAAGATCAAATTGGTCTATCACAGATGAAGTACAGATGCCTTCTATGAGTTCTGGGTAGTGAATATACTGCCGACTGTGTTGTGTAGATATAATTACACTATTTTGATAAGTGTTTCGTTTTGGAAAAATTAGAAAATGATTATTTGCAGCATCATTTATCATAGAAAATAGGAATAATCTAAATGTACCAATAATATGAGAATGACTAATTATACTATAAGCATTCCATAGCATGTTATTCAGCCCTTTAAAATTATAATTATAAAGACTTTTGCAAAAGAGGAAAGCCTTTTATGTGGAGGAAAAGAGTAGAAAATTGTAAAAGTGTACATACGTGATGTAACAACTATTGAAATATTTAAATGGGCTTATGTAAAAGTAGGTATTTTAATAATAGAATGATAGGATTACTTTATCAGATTTTCTCTAATGTTATGTTATCATGATAAAACTTTAGAAATCAGCTTGGAAGTCTCAAGAACTGCTCTACATAGAGAGTCTCCGGGTTGGGGGGAAGTGTGTGTGTGTGTGACATGTGATATGATAATTTATCAACAGGCATTTGGTATTACTTTTCTTACAGTTGCTGGCAATGCTGCTTAAGAAGAAACGTTCCCTTCTTAACAGCCACATCCTCCATCTAACTTTTTCTTTAGTGGGAACTGTTGATAGTGGACATGAGACCTCCATTATTCCAAATTCAACTGCTTTTCAGGATCTTCTTTGTGATTTTGAAGTACGTATATAAACACCGTTAGAACATAATTAATCCATTAATGTACACAGCCATCATTTAATAAAAAAAAAGAACATAATTAATGAACCTGTTTCTTCTGTATAATTATAAACTTTTACGTCTGAAATGTGTTGAAAATTCTGTAATTTTATGATGTTCATGTTAATATCATTTAGCAGAGTATAAAAAGTAGAGTAGCCAGGTGCAGTGGCTCACGTCTGTAATCCTAGCACCCCGGAAGGCTGAGAAAGGAGAATCCCTTGAGGTCAGGAGTTCAAGACCAACCTGAGCAAGGGGAAGACCCCAATCTCCACTAAAAATAGAAAAATTAGCTAGGTGTCATGGCAGTGCCTATAGTGGGAGGCTACTGGGAGCTACTTGGGAGGCTGAGGCAGGAGGATCACTTGAGTCCAGGAGTTTAAGGCTGCCCTAACCTAGGCTGATGTTATAGCACTCTAGACTGGGGCAACAGAGTGAGGCTTTGTCTAAAATTTAAAAAAAAAAAGAATAGCGTGGAGTTTCTTCTCTCTAATGGTATTCTGTTTTATAGATGTTTTTAGAAGTGAGATGGTAGAATGCATATAACTTCCCAGCTAATTTGCTGCTGCCAGTGGTACATTACAAGGGGCAAATCTAGTTTCATCAAACAATTCTGATAGAAACTTTTCTTTCATAAATAGGAATCTATACCTGTAATTTTGGTTACTAGTAGCTACATAGTAAAATGATATTCATTTTACCAAAATTACAACAAGATTTTCACTTCTAATATATTATTACCCTTAGCAGCTTTGACCCTGTCCTTTGAAGGTGCCACTTAATCACTCATGTCCTTTCTGCACTTCCTGTTCACAGCACTCTGCATATTCCTCAGTGTCTCTAGGTTGATACGCAGTATCCCTGTGAAACCGCAGCATCTGTAGCATCTGTAGCCTTTACAGTATCAGAGACCATGTCTGTCTTGTTTCCCTCCACGTCCCTACACCCATAGTAGCACTTGACACTTCACGTTTGCCGACTGCAGTCTGGTCCCGCACTCTTCTCCTCGTAACTACTGCAGGTTTGCTCACAGACTGTCCTGATGCTTTCCTGAACGTGTGTGTTCAGTGCTTCTCCGCAGCCTCCTCCTGAGTATAAAGCACGGGTTACACTCGGGGCTCAGGAGCGTTGGGAGGGCCTCTTCTCTCTTCTTTTAACTTGCTGGTTTTCAGGCATCACTCCCACGGTTGTCTTTCTTAACTAGTTTCTCAATAATTTCCTGCTATGAAGTGTTCCTTGTTTTATGTAAAGATGTCTATCTTCTTTATATTTTCCCTAATTTGTTGTTTTCTTTCCTTTAAACTCTCAGTCCCACAGCCGATCTCTGTGGAGTTGACTTTCAGATCTCTGTCTCCAATCCTGACGTCCAAGTACTAGACTTATTTCTAACGTGTGCTCACTGTTTACATTTTATGTCCCTGCAGCACCTTAACTGCCCTTCAGATCCCTCCCCAAATGAGTCCTTCCTTCTGACTCCTCTGTTTCTATTAATACCACCATTGAAACTGAAAAATCAGCTTCTGTCCACTTCCCTGTGTGTAGACAGTCTACTTTTAAGTCATGTGGATTCTGCCTTCACAAACCAAATAGTCCACCTTTCACCTCTAGTTCTAATCTAAGCCCCAATCATTCTTCTCCTATGTGCTAGAATGACTGTCACTTCCTTCCCCCTTTTCCTTTGTGACCTTATTCATCCAAGGGCATAATTATATCACTTTTTCAAGAACTTCAAGTGATTTATTTTCCTACACATTTCTCAGCCTGATACTCAAAGTTCTAATAGCCAAACCTCTTATTCTTTCAGAAACCACTTACTGAATACTTTTAAACCAAACTCCATATTAGCTACTAAGGATGTGAAAAGACAGGGTTCATATCTTAAGGCATTTAATTCATTAGAAGAAAAGACAGAGGAGATAATTAAAAATTTGTGAAAGCAGAGATAGTTGTATGCAGAAAAGATTATGAGAGAGACCTAAGTCAACCTAACCTGTTTTCATCTGGTAACTAACACATGTATTTATTTATTTGAGACAGTCTTACTATGTCGCCCTTGGTAGAATGCCGTGGCATCACAGCTCA